AATGCCGTCGTCTATATGAGGAAGCTGATTTATTGAGTTCATCATTGACGATCGATCAGAATAAACGTTGATCGAAGAAAAGAAAATGATAATCATTGATACAGAGTGAGCTGAATAACAGAAAATGCCAATATTCTCATTTAGATGATTTAATCATGGCATAGTCCTGAAGATGTCTTCTGATGTCTGAATTCACACACACACACACATCCACATATACACCTAATAACAAAAATCATAACAAAACATTGAATCATTTTGTCACGAAGTGGATTTTTCCTTGGTGAAGAAGAGCCCTTGTATTTTTTGCATAATGGCCATAACATGAAGTAAACATAGAGTAATGACGAATGTTCGTGAAACTTCTCATTGTATTTCGTCGGAAAGAATTCAGACAATAAAGAAAAAACAATGAAATTCCCAAAGTCTGTCGACCTTGACCTTGAATTCTATCTCAGCTTCCATTTGCTTTTCGCATTTCTTGATGAATCTCACGTGAGAGAATTTTTGCATAATAATTTACTGATGTACTTCGCCAATAACCCAATTTTAATTTGGTTTTACTGGACATTCTCCAGATTAAAAACCACTTGAATATGCTCTGGACTGTCAACTGAATTTTTTGGACTTAGCTTTTGAATCTAAATTTTTTTCAATATATGTTATAAGGTACTCATATATTACATCAATTTTGTGTCTGATGATGGCCTGTGGCCGAAACTAGTAACACGTCGCTTATTAAATGATTTTGTGGTCGACAGACTTTGGGAATTTCATTGTTTTTTCTTTAAAATCAATTGGACCACTTTGAGAAAAATGGATGATTTCTATGATTTAATTCAGACAATGGCATCAGAAGACATATTCAGGACTATGCCATGATTAAATCATCTAAATGAGTATATTGGAAACTTCTGTTAATCTGATCACTGTATCAATGATTATCATTTTGTTTTCTTCGATCAACGTTCATTCTGATCGATCGCCAATGATGAACTCAATAAATCAGCTTTCTCATATAGGCGATGGCATTCGGATTTTCTGAAAATTAGTTTATTGTTGACCACCCTGTGAAAAGGCTACTACATCCCTTTTGTAACCTTGAAACATATCTTTCTTTAATGAATTTTGATAGGGTGAATGCATATCACGAGATTTTCATATTCTTCATTAAGCTTCAAAGACTCAAAAATACACAAAATTCATGATGTTTCACCCTCTAGCGCCGAATCTCGTCATACGATCGAGTAGAATGACTACAGCTACAAAATATCAAAAATCCAGCCATTTTCACCGAAAGACATTTTCCCATATAATGTGTGCGTGGTCCTTTACTGTTTTTTTAAATACTATTCCGTGACTGACTACCTTTATGTGATGACGTCAACACACCAGTTTTTTGAAAGGATTACTCCATTTTTATTCAATTTCCGGACTCCTCTTGCCGAATTGATTCCAAGTATTTATCAAACATTGGTTCAAACTGTAAAAGTTTGGCAAAAAATACAACAGTTGTTTAATGAGATGTTATACCGTTATTGCACTCTTACAATAGTTATTTAACTACCAATAAGGACGAAAGAGTGTCTATTATAGTCGAGCCTGCAAATTGATAGCCAAGGCTAGCGATCAGGCGAGACAATCAACAGTCTTTTGCCTTATTCACACGTTAAATCTATCGGCATTTTTCAATTTAATGATTTAATGAAAGTTGATTAACATTCACTAATTGATTTAAATGTAACTTTCTTCAAAAAATGAGTTTCAGAAAAAAAGTTCCCTGAGGTCTTTTTCAATAGCTAAGAGCTGATTACTTACTAACAGGTACGCACTGATGATGACTGTTAGTCGAAAGCACTCTGCTAGGATAATTCGATAAAATACACGTGCGCACAGAGCTAAGTAACCCTCACTTAAGAATATCATTAATATATTCAAAAGACGAAGAAAATGCCACATGAAGAATCAGTAATGTACGAAATTATTTCTAACAATAATTGTGAAAACACATGTAGCTCAAACTAGTAGATTTCTTCAAACTAGCTTCCAAGTGTAACCGAAGATGTTCAATCACTTTCATAACATGATATTAAAAACTTGAAATTGGATAAACAATATAGTCAGTATGGTCAAAAGTGTAATGGGCGTGTACACCTTAGTAGAACTTTCAACTCAAACCATGTTATAATATATATATATATATATATATAATTCGATCGAAAAATTAACTGGACTGTTTTATTTTTGACATAAATAATAGTACCTTCTGAAACGGATCCTCTTATGACGTAGAAACCACATCTCGCCATAGTTAAAAGAAAATACCAAACGCCTGACGGAGACTGAGGCAACTGATAAATTGATTCTTTCAACTGTGATCTCCGCTAATTCACTCTGGAACCAATGAGCGTGACCCATGTGTGACACATATCACTGTTGCCATATCATGCAAACAAAATATCCGAGAGATCAAAATCGATATCGAAATATCTTTTGATATCCACTATCACTACTGCAGAAAAATATATTCAAGTTGTCGATTGTAGGTTGAATCATTGGAATATAAACAATCTCTAGACAACGAAATGTCTCAATCTCAAAACCATTTGCACCATTACAATTTCACAATAATCCAATACATTTCATAAACGCAGCAACATCGCTTTGTTGACCCGTTTTACATGGAGCTGCATCTGCATCGAGTCTCGAATTCCGATCCCGAATTGTTTATGTCGTCTAAAATGAGAAGAGAAGACACGAAATGGAATTAACCTCCCAATCTTGGACATGAACGTTGAATCAGGATTTGTAAAATGCTCATCAGATAAGCTACCAAAAATTGATTTGGAAACGGTTAATGATTTTTATGTCTCTAACATACAATTCCTCAGTGCTGAAGTGAGAAATAGAAAATCTGAAAGTTAGGTTCCACAATATTCATTCAATTTTCATTGCTTGTACCTATTATAGTTGTATTGGAAAATTGTTCACCTGAAAGGATATTTAACATCAGAATACCCATCATATGGAGAATCCTCATTAAATCAGTCACTGATTGATATGTTTACCTGTGCAACAACAACAATATGATCAATTGGTATGAAACAATGTTATTCCCTAGACTAGATACTGCTTGCATCTCCCCCTGAATGTTCTTCGAGGAGATGGAATATTTCCAATGGTTTCATAATATAATCAATTGTTCAAGCTGTAATATTTAGAAAAGTGAGCAAAAAATTTTAGTTTTCATCAAAATGGTCCTCGCAACAATACAGTGTGTCCCACTTACCATGCTCACCATGGGTATCTTTTTAACGGTGAGAGATACGAGGTCGGTTAAACACCAAATGTGGAGTTTGTCAAGGCCAACTATAATGTGAAAAAATATTTTGATAAAATCTATTCGTTTTTGTTTCATACGCAAAAAACAGATTTTGATCATTTTCATGTCTCCTCCATAACTTCTTTATTTATGAAAATATTCGAATAGGAATTTCACATGCTCATGGCTGGCAATTTTACAAAGTGATTTCGAAAAAAATATGAAATTTATACCAACTCTTCTAGAATTTGAGATATCAGCACCAACTTTAGTTTTTCAAATGTAGGTCATAGCTCACTATGACTTAGTTACAAATAACTTTCTTTTCTCTCACAGATGATATGTCGCAGTAATACTTTTGTGTTGATAACAATGGAGTAATCGTCATTTATACAAAAACAAAAAAAAATATTTGGAAGCCGCCATCTTGAATTTATGAATTATAACAAAAAAATCATGATCTCCGACCTCAAAAACCCCCACTTACCAATTTTGAATGACAATACATTATGGAATTTTGGTTGAAATTAAAAAAAATGGCTGCTCCAAGATGGCGGACAAGACTTGGCCCGATTCCATTCAAAATTGGTAAGTGGGGGTTTTTGACACCAGAGATCATGATTTTTTCGTTAAAATTCATAAATTCAAGATAGCGGCTTCCATATAATTTTTTGTTTTTGTATAAATGACGATAACTCCGTTGTTATCAACACAAAAGTATTACTGCGACATATCATCTGTGAGAGAAAAAAAAGTTATTTGTAACTAAGTCATAGTGAGCTATGACCTACATTTGAAAAAAATTGGTGCTGATATCTCAAATTCTAGAAGAGTTGGTATAAATTTAATATTTTTTTCGAAATCACTTTGAAAAACTGCCATGTGAATGTGAAATTCCTATTTGAATATTTTCATAAATAAAGAAGTTACGGAGGAGACATGAAAATGATCAAAATCTGTTTTTTGGGTATAAAACAAAAACGAATAGATTTTATCAAAATATTTTTTCACATTATAGTTGGCCTTGACAAACTCCACATTTGGTGTCATTTAAGCGACCTCGTATCTCTCACCGTTAAAAAGATACCCATGGCGAGCATGGTAAGTGGGACACAGTGTATAAATGTTTACTGGAGGAAAAATCTTTATTCACTGCGATGAACCATTTTTTTTTCTCCGTTCAGGATCCTCGGGAACGCATAAGAATAATTTTTCTTTAGAATATCTGTTGCTATTATTGCAATTAGGCACAAAACATTTCTTAATCATACTTTTGTCGAAATATTTCAATTTAATATTGGAAAGTTTCGCGGTTTGCAAAAAGTTAATATCTCTGTCCCAAAAATCAACTTGCCGAGTCTCCAATCTTGGTGTTTTGTCAGAAATCATGTATCATTCATCTCTGTCTGGAATAGTCTTGTTCCAGTATTAGGGTTTTGACGTCATCATCTGCTCGTTTTCAGAGGTCCGAAAATTCGGGGATTTCAATGATTTTTCATAAAACATAGGGAGCTCACAGCAAGAAACTATTTGCAGTGGTGAGCTAGTTTGGGTGAGTTCTATCGAATTATGGAATACAATTTTTTCGTGATATAATCCCATTGCATTGTTATTGACTTTAAAGTAACAGTATTTTGATATTAGTATGAGGTGATGAATGAATGGAATATAACAAGATGTGAACTCAACATTCATTCCATTTATTGGATAGAAAAATATAAAAACAATCCGTGAAATTGTAGATTCAATGTTTCTTTATGAAATAAGATCTCCCGCCGGGATTCATGATCCCGGTTTTTATCGGAGACTGCAAACACCACTCGTACCACACTTTATCACAGGACTCCACTCTCCAAAAGCAGATATCAATCATCCCCCCTGCCTGAAGATGCACCGGTTCGGACAAAGGAAAAACAATAGGAAACCAACTAACCATATCCGGCGTATGAGTTTCCGGATGAATACTCAACGTAATGTCTTTATAAAGCACCGTATCGAAAAAACCGGCGAAACCCGTCAGCACACACGCTTGTTCACACCTGAACCTCAGCTTTTTATACCGTTGATTGTTGATCATTTCGCTCCAGTTCGGGTGGGTGAACGTGAAAAGCTCTTGGGGCGGCGCGATTTGATAATAGTTCGCCAAGTGCACGACGTAAGGTGTCTCATAGCAGAACTGGAGGGTCTTGTCCGCGGGCCGATTGTTTCTTATCTCGTTGTAGATCTTCAGGCTTTGCAAGGGTGCCAAATACGACGTGTACGAAATCGGTATCGATATGCCGGATTTCTTGAGGAATCTTTGGGCGCCGTCTAGACATTCGGGTGACAACTCGTTGTCCCCGAAGGAGCCCAGCAGTTCGGACACCAGGATATCTGCTTTCTCTGGCGGCTCGTAACTCCTTGAAATTAAATTGATTATTTCAGCACACAAGGCTCCACCTATAAACAGTCATAATTGTGTGGCAAAGTTCTAAGGTAGGACAAATACGATCGCGGCATACACTGCATGACGCTGCCATGTATAGTCAACACGTGTAAACTCCTACGTCTACACGCTGCACAGTGGCACTACAAGTAAACCACTCTGCTGACAGTTGGCGCTACCTGACCAATATAGTGGAAGAGCCACCAGTCCTATTCATCGAATTGGTGGGTCGAAACAGTAATATCTCGCTCCTGCTGACAATTGGGGCAACTCATCTTAGATCTCATAATTATGATTATGATGATCTAGTTCAATGAATAGGACTGGTGGTTCTTCCACTCAAGTAGTCAAGTAGTGCCATCTGTCAGCAGAGTGGTTCACTTGTAGTACCACTTTGCATCGTGTAGACGTAGGTGTTTACACGTGTTGACTGTACATGGAAACGTCCTACAGTGTATGTCGCGATCGCATTGTCCCTACCTTAGCAGGTTAAATGTAATAACTATATTTCTGATGAAATGTGTATATATAGGTGTGCCTCAAGGATCCATTCTTAGTCCAACACTCTTTAATATATATATCAACGATTTGATTGAATCAATGAGATCACACTCTACTCAAGTAGTAGCTTATGCTGATACAAACTTTCTGTTCATTTCAGATACTGTTTATATGCTAAAAAACAGGCCGAACTAGTTTACATGAATGTTTGCAAGTGGGTTGTTGTGAACAAGCTTTGTCTGAATAATGATAAATCGACCTGTGTTATTTTCTAATCTTCTGGTTCAGAATATCCTAACCACATAACTCTAAATAATACAGAAATCAATTGCGCTCTAAATACTAAATTGCTTGGTGTTATTTTAGAAAGTAACCTGGAGTGGTATGGACATGTAGATAGTTTGTACTCGAAGCTAGCTAGGATATGCTATGCCCTTTTCATTCCATCACAACAATGTAGTAGAGAAATAATTGAACAATTGTATTTCGGATGCTTCCACTCCAATTTAAAATATGGAATCATGCATTGGGCGAATTCCGCAGAAGCTCATAGGGCCTCCTCCTTACAAAAAAGGGCAGTCCGTATCTTGGGAAATCTGAGAGCAAGAGATTCATGCAGGGAATATTTAAAAAAAACTGGGTATCTTCACAATGATTTCCCTTTACATTCATGACGTAACCTGTTTTGTATACAGTGTGTCCATTTAGTGCGTAATTCTTCGATATCTCGAAATCAATTATCACAAGAGAAAAACTTTGGAAACAAAACTTTTTCAGTTACTAAAGTTGCTCGTTTCAAAAATATTTCCAACAATACTGGGTGTTTTATAAAAGCGGGGCAACTCGAAGACGAGTTTTTTGGAACACCCAGTATTGTTCATTCGAAATTTATTCCGCTAAGGTTCAGCTCCACATCGCTGGGAAAAAAGTTGAAGTTGGTTGCGGCGTTGCCAAGTTATGATTGATAAACCTAATTTTACTACTATTGAAGGTATATTTATTTATTGAAATTTCGAAAATATTTTTGGCATACAGTAGTAGCAAGGTCTCACGTATACCAATTCAGTTTTCTTGCGAGATAATCCTTTACAGGGTGCTAAAATTTACATTCTGAATATTGTAAGATTCAGACGACGATCATAAGAATTTTTCAAATGGAACACCCTATATTTTTCATCACAGATTCATTTTGACATCATTCGCCTTCTCATCGCTGAAGAAGAAATCAAAATCGGTTGCAGCGTTTTCTAGTTATGAGTTATTTCCTTTTACTACTATTTCGGGGTAATTTGTACGTCATGATGGTTCCTTTATTTGATTTGAGTGTGGGAATATTGCTTGCCACATGACATTCGAGGTTCTACATAGATCATTCAGGAAGTCTTGCGATATGTGCATCGTACTTTGAAATATTCCGTAATCTTGTTACTTATGATTTCAACAATATGTGGAACAAACAAACATGCCAAAAACAACGCCTGTCTTTGAAACAACTTCTACAATACAAACAATGAAGATGCGGATTGCGAAAATTAGGACAATTTTTTGAAATTTGGGCCATTTTTATTGTCGTTATTCCCACAATCCAAATCTCCATTCAACTTGAAGGAGGTAAACATAATGATACAAACAATATGTATCTCCTATACGCGGCTTATGGGAGGGAATTCAGCAAAACTTCGAATCAATCCAAGATATATTTGATTGTGGCGATGTTTGACAGGTCATTACACAAATATAAGTGTATTTCGAAGAAAATTCAAACTTGGAGAGCCTGTTGATGTTCCTATTGTGGAAAAATATATGAATGGTCAATGAACAAATTATATTATACCGTAGCAACGCAATATTTCCACAATATAAACAAATGAAAGAACTATGACGTACAAATTACCCCGAAATAGTAGTAAAAATAAGAAAATTATCCATAGCTTGACAACGCCGCAATCGATTTCGATTTTTTTTTCAGCGATAAAAAGGCGAGAGATGTCGGAATGAATTTTTGAATTAAAATATAGGGTGTCCATTTGAAAAATTCTGATGAATGTCATCTGAATCTTGCAAAATTTTAAATGCAAAATTGAGCACCCTGTTGAAGAACATGTCGCAAAATTACTGGATTAGTATACGTGGGACCTTGCTTTTGCCGCATGCCAAAAATATTTTCAAAACGTGAATAAATGAATATACCATGCCCAATTCAACATGACTCTTCAATAATGGAGAAAATAGATTTATCCATTATAAGTTGGCAACGCCGTAACCGATTTCAATTTTTTTGCAGCGATGTAAAGGTGAACCTCGGCGGAATTCATTCCGAATAAATAATACTGGGTGTTCCATTTAAAAAAAACTCTTCTTCGAGTTGCCCTGCTTTTATAAAACACCCATTAATGTTGAAAATATTTTTGAAATGAGCAACTTTAGTAACTGAAAAGGTTTTTTCCTCAAAGTTTTTTTCTATAGATTATGGCTTTAGAGATATCGAAGAATTACGCACTAAATGGACACACTGTACATACAGTGCTAGTCAAAAGTCCCCTCCCCCCCTCGTATCTTTTGAACGGGTATACTTATAATAATGAAATTTGGAGGGTGGAAATAAACGGATGTAGGCTTCTCAACTGGTCATAACAGGTGACGCAATAGTCATAAATGACGTCACAAGGCCACTGTGACCAGTATACCCGTTCAAAAGATACGAGGGGGGGGGGACTTTTGACTAGCACTGTATAATCATAAACGTTATTTTGAGACTGAAAAAGTCGAACATAATTACAATACAAGGAACAAAGATTATCTGTTGCCTCCTCAACACTCATCTGCTCGGTATCAGAAAAGTTTATAATACAATGGATGTAAATTATACAATTGCCTGCCAAAATCTATACAAGAATCAAAAAATGAATTCCAATTCAAGAATGAAATGAAAAACTTGCTCCTGACAAAATCTCATTACACCCTGGATGAATGTTTTTCGCGTAGACGTTTATATACTTCTATCTATCTATCTATCTATCTATCTATCTATCTATCTATCTATCTATCTATCTATCTATCTATCTATCTATCTATCTATCTATCTATCTATCTATCTATCTATCTATCTATCTATCTATCTATCTATCTATCTATCTATCTATCTATCTATCTATCTATCTATCTATCTATCTATCTATCTATCTTAGAACTAGGTATGCCTCTAGATGGTGATAACATGACGAAAACCCTGCGTCTTTGAAATAGGTGATATACTCGAAGCGTTGTTGTCCCAGTTGTCAGCAGACCGAGAGCGGCTGATGGGGCCTGGTGGACCGAAACAGTACTGTATCGCTCCTGCTGACAATTGGGCCAACTCTGTTAACGAAGTTGGTACCAATTTCTGGAGGTTCAGAACAAACTCTATAACTTCTGTAGTTATTGCAGAGTTTTTGTAAAAGTATTTTTCTATCTTCAATGATGAACCCTGTAGAAGCTGTTTAAATATACGGAATGACCCTGTGCATGGTGATTGTTTATATTTTGCTCTATAGCTATCTTAGTTAATATTGGTCTTACACAAACGTTCAATGGCAAATGCAGCATTTGAAGAATACCAGCACATGTGAAATTTTTAGGCTTACAATGCTTTTTGCATTCTCTAGTTCTAAATTGTGAATGCCCATTTTCCATTTGAACGTATCTGTAGGACCAATATTAAGTGAGATGGCTATTGAGTAAAATGTAAACAATCACCTAGTACATAATATAACTAGATTTTCACTCTGATGTTATAACTGTGAAATGCAGGCCTTCAAATCAGAATTTATAACCAAAATATAATTGAAAGTTTAGTCTTACTTGAAGTTTCAGTTTAGATAATAGTATATTTTGCATTTTGCAATTAGAAAAAAGCACATTCAGGCGTTTTGTACCTAGTTGTATCTTCTGATAATCTAGAACTTCACATCATATGAACATATATATTGTGATGAATCTACATTTTTATGAGATGCATGGATGAATAAATAACTCACCTCATATCCTGACAGATCAGCGTCACCCGATTATCCCATTCGTTATTAACTCTGTCTACCAACGTATTAATTGCGTACGGATTCTTCTCCACCGCATAAACGTTCACTTTCCGATTCAGCGTGTAAGCGACGTTAAGCACCGCCTGCACCAGCGGCCCCCGTCCCGCCCCCACCACCATTACCACCGGCTCCACCTCCCCCTCCTTGGGAAAGGCCTCCACGGCCTTGTAGATGGCGCTCTGATACGTGTCGTACTTGACCTGGTCCTTCTCGAAGATCTCGTAGATGTTGGTTTCGAGGTGTTCGGTGAGCGGTTGGAGGGGGTTCTGGAGAAAATCCTCGCAGCCTTGCACGAAGTCTGACATCGTGTCTTGGACGTATAGCTTTTTTCCTAGAAAGAGGGTGGGAATTGGTTTTGTGCAAGTTTATAGTGCAAGTTGTAGCGCCGTTATTTGTTGTCCGATTTTGATGAACAAGATACCAAATGTAACAATTTCTCGAATGCTATGACGAAGCATAAAGAAACAAATAATCAAGAATCATGAGGAAAACCAAAGCACAAAATCCTCCTTGTAGATCGCGCTCTGGTACGTGTCGTACTTGACCTGGTCCTTCTCGAAGATCTCGTAGATGTTGGTTTCGAGGTGTTCGGTGAGCGGTTGGAGGGGGTTCTGGAGAAGATCCTCGCAGCCTTGCACGAAGTATGACATCGTGTCTTGGACGTACAGCTTTTTTCCTAGAAAGAAGGTGGGGATCGGTTTTGTGCAAGTTTATAGTGCAAACTATTGCACCGTTATTTGTTGTCCGATTTCGATGAACAAGAAACCAAATGTAATAATTTCTCGAATGCTATGACAGAGCACAAATTGCTCCTTGTAGATGGCGCTCTGGTACGTGTCGTACTTGACCTGATCCTTCCCAAGATATCATAGATGTTGGTTTCGAGGTTTTCGGTGAGCGGTTGGAGGGGATTCTAGAGAAAATCTGGAGAAAATCCTCGCAACCTTGCAGGAAGATCGACATGGTGTCTTGGACGTACAGCTTTTTACCTTGAAAGAGTGGGAATTGGTTTTGTGCAAGTTAATAGTGCAAGCGGTAGCGCCGTTATTTTCTGTTCGATTTTGATGAAGAAGAATCCAATTGTAATAATTTCTCGAATACTTTGAAGAAGCATGAACATCCAAATAACCAAAAATCAACAGGAATGCCAAAGCATCAAATTGCTCCTTGTAGATGGCCCTCTAGTAGGTGTCGTACTATACCTAGTCCTTCTTCAAGATCTCGTAAATGTTGGTTTCGAGGTGTTCGGTGAGCGGTTGGAGGGGGTTTTGGAAAAAATCATCGCAGCCTTGCACACATCGTGTCTTGGACATTCAGCTTTTTACCTTGAAAGAGGGTAAGAATTGGTTTTGTGCAAGTTTATAGTGCAAGCTGTAGCGCCGTTATTTTCTGTTCAACTTTGATGAACAAGAATCCAAATGTAATAATTTCTGGAATACTATGAAGAAGCATGGAGATACAAATAACCTAAAATCAACAGGAATGCCAAAGCATCAAATTTCTCCTTGTAGATGGCCCTCTGGTATGTGTCGTACTAGACCTATAGTCCTTCTTGAAGATCTCGTAAATGTTGGTGGTTATTTTCTGTCTGCCATAAAGATAAAATAATCAAGGATCATCGTGAACACCAAAGCACACATTGCTTTTTGTAGATGGCACTTTGCTACGTGTCGTACTTGACCTGGTCCTTCTCGAAGATCTCGTAGATGTTGGTTTCGAGGTGTTCGTTGAGCGGTTAAAGAGGGTTCTGCAGAGAGTCCTCGCAGCCTTGCACGAAGTCCGACATCGTGTCTTGGACGTACAGCTTTCAAGATTGGAGGAAAGGAGAGTTAGGATTGGTTCTGTGCAAGTTACTACTGCGAGCCGCAGCACGGTTATTTGTTGTCAGATTTTGATGAACAAGATAATTTCTCAAATACTATGAAGAAGCATAAAGTTACAAATGATCAGAATCAAAATTCAACATGAACACCGAGAATTTGTCGACCATGAGAAAATAGTTTGTGAAGCACTCACCAATGAGGTTAGGTTCCTTGAAGTAAAGCATCAAATTGCTGCCATTTTTCAAATTTGAGAGCCATTTTTCATGTCCGGATTGAATAATGAAAATCGAAAATATTTTTAGATCGAGAAATCTACCTATTATTTAAAAATCTGTCAACGAACCATAATGAAGATGATCAACAATCCAAATTTAAAATGAACAACAAACAATTCATCAACGTTGATTAGAATGATTGTGAAGCACTCATCCAAGAAGTTCAGGTACCTCAAGTAAAGATCAAATTTGATGTCATTTTTCAAATTTGAAAATCAATTTGTATCTGCAGATAAGATAGTCAAACTCAAAAATATCTTCACTTCAACAAATCTAATGTTTTTTAACAAAGTAGTCAATAGTGTGATGAAAAACATGAAAGCTTAACAAATAGTGACAAAAGGCGAGTGGACTATATTTCTATTTCTTAAATAGAATCACTCAAATACGTATTGGTAATATTCCTGATTAGAAATTAAAAATCAATTATTTCAAAATATTTCATGATGTGTTATGGCTTATTGATTTGCGTGAATAATAATTATAACAATTCACACTAGAGGGCATGTCAGTTCTCAGCATTCATCACAATGTTAACCTATGAACGTCTATGCGACCTTTCTCGAGTCAATATTTCAACGTCTCCAGAGAATTCTTATTTCATTTCCAGAACGTTTTATGTGACGTATTTTCCATCAGTTTTCGTAACAGTAGTATCACGAATTTGATTCCAACCATATACGTTATTTATTCTCATGAATAATATTCGCGATTTTGCAAAGTGTTAATTTCAGTAAGTCAAGACAATCAAGTGTGAGTGCGATTTTTGAGAAACACTGTGATATAAGTGGATTGAGTTACCAATATCATAACTTTTATTGTTTATTAAGCATCAGATCACCCAGTATCAGACTTTTTATGGCTTCAATACGTGGCTTCAGTCAGGTTTTATCGTTATATTCCTCAGTGAATATATCTGGAAGTGTTATTTCTTATGGTTCTCCTCTCGGATCGAATAACTCACTAATATATCATTGAATTTTGAGGTTAGATCATACAATGAAGAAAAATAGATCACTCAAGCTTACAAGTTTCACATCAGTGACCAAGCTAGCCCAAATAGTTCGGAAGATATCAAGTACTGCATTGCTTACTCGGAATCTGGATAGGTACCTTCATTTCTAGAACAAAATGTGAGCTCGGAACAGTCCTAGACACTGGATCTATCCTATATTAAAAATGATGGAATACAGTCTGCTCTGTTTACCTATAGGAAGGTAACATATAAAATTGTGGAATGCATATTAATGCATGGAGGGAAGTAAATGACAACAGTTTATTTCATAATGAAGTTCAATATACTTATGGTATACATTTCAGAACCTAAGTCTCTGGGATATCATTCAATGGAGAATAGAGACATCGAATAAGGACACAAGAATCAGAAGTCCGTTATTCTTGAAAGGCGTAATGGCAGAAAGAGAAACGACTCTTACATCGGGTTGAAACAGTCTATGCTACCCTCAGTTGCAGAGTAACTGATCGAGGTAGTATGTTATGAATTTTTGATATGCTAGCTGAAATTGCATACCTTTGGCTTTATTATTGTAAACATCAATTCCTATTCGGTCTGCAAATGAGGTGGCTGCGTCATTCCAAACAGCTTTTGCTAAGAAAAAAAACTTAAGCTATTATTGCATTGGCTCCTACTCTCTTGCCTCCTTGCTAAGAAAATATTTTTTTCAGTTTCTGTTTTTATTTTTGATTCATATTGAGAAATCATTATCTGTTTTAGTTTGGTTCATTTCATTGTATAATATTAGGCATTCCAGAACCCGTGACCTAAAAATGGCCGCTGTACCTGCCCCGTTTCCGTCCGTACTTCAAACGTCAAAAATTTACTTCCTCTTCCCCTAAATTGCGAGTTTTAAGGTTATGATCGTCACTGATTTTGTTTTGATTTTTTGATATTTATGTTTTTATCATGAATAAAGTGAATATTTATTGAAATTAGAAATTTCTGGTGGTCATAATATAGAGCGATACAAAGAGAAACTCAAAGTCAATGATTCTATTGATCCCTATTCTCTGCAGAATAATGGAAACTCAGGCTCCGATGTTTCCTGGAGTCACTTCAATAGATTATCCTAGTTTTCATACTGCAGAGCAAACGAAAGCTCATGAAAGTTTGAGTTGGTATACATTTTCTGAGGCATGTTTTGTACAAATACCTATGTGGAGTCAAGAAAATCAGTGGCATATGTTTGTTGTTCTAGGCAGTCATACTATGAGTGGATAATTGGATAGTACCTGTTGAATATTCGATATTTTTATAGGTGAAACATTTTCAAATGATGATTTTACCCTCACTAGAAATCTGGGTATTGTGTAAAAGTGATCAAGGAATAAATACAGAGCCTTTACACCTGCATGGCTGGGCTGTCAGAAGTTTGTAGTCATTTTGTTGCTTGTCTCTATAGCTTAACATGTATTCACAACTGGAGAACTGCCAAGTCAAGTACCCATTTTCAGGCAAAATGGATGAAACCTAAACCTTCTAATGTTCCTCTTGCCAGTCTTAAAAATCTGAGAGAAAATCACACTAAAGTTAGAATATATTCAACCTATAGAAGGCAACAGCTCTCAGAAATATTGGAATCTTCAAGAGAAATTGACCTATAGCAAATATCTGATATTCCTGTTATGCATAAGCAATTAATCATATTAATTCCTCAATAATTTTCACACAAAACAGGCATATTATAGTGAGTGTAGGTACTTTCCTCCTTTGATACCCTTTCACTTACAAGGACAACACCAATGCATATCACTGATTCCCTCCACTTTACCTATTTGTGCAAATCCTGTTGGAAAAATTTATATCAGACTCTTGTAAGCTCTGATCTGCAAGGATTTAAACTATCATGATTCAACTCTAAATATCTAAAAACCATAATAACTCCAGAAAATATTTTGATGTTAGTCTTGCTCTGCAATATCACTACTGGAAATTTATGTCAAAAATATTCACTTTATTCTTAACTACTAGACAAATATGAAAATTCACAAATAAGATATTGACACAATTCCCCCAAATATCTACACTATTGATGAAATCAATTATTTTTCAATTAAAAATTAAGCTATATTATAAATATTTTCTTTCAACCTTATAATTCATTAAAACACTACATATTCATGCTTCACGATTTTATTCATCTTAACTATAGTTTTCTCAAACACATTTCAATGTAATACCTGTAATAATAATTATATAGTCAACAGAATGTGTT